AATGTTTCTTGATAGCCAGCTGTTAGTGAAGTTACCTTGTTAAAAAGCGGTGTAGCGGTGAACCTGAATGTTTCTTACGGCATTAAGTTTTGCAGGTAATTCCTCCTTCCCTCTCACTTACTATCATTTAGTTCATAGGTCAGCATAGTTGTATATCAGTGAAGCATCAATTTATTTGGCTGATATATTGCTGTTTTTGATGACGGCTGTACATAGACATCAAGGAAAATGATTTATTTGTTATGCTTTCGAGCAGAACATATATGAATCTTCCCCAGTTTATCAAAGCGGATCGTCAACATGTCGTGCGCCCTAAACAGTTAGATTTGCGGCACCGCATATTTCATTATTTGGCCGATTTGTTTGAATAATTAATAATTGGTAGGTGCAAGGCAACTTGTAAACTTACATCAAAAATAATACTTATAAGTATCTGATTAGTTTTACTTGCAGTGCGTCCTTTTGGAGACAAACGTATTCGTAGACTTTTCGAAAAATAGTGATGTCGTTTCTGGTAACGCTTATTTTATATTCAGGAGCTGAAAATAGATATGTTCGCTAACAATTACACTAGAAGCGTGAACCATTATTCACCTACTTACATATGTATTTGGTATATTTGATGGAGCTGCAGTATTCTACGTTCATGTGCGCCTTGTACTTTTTGAAACTTAATACGAGTATGGAACAACCTACTCATTATCGACTTTGATGTCACGTGAACTAAAGCGGAGCCTACGTGCTGACAAGGAAGCCTGGTGGACCAGTCGGGCTCAAGAAATGGAGGAGGCAGGAGCAGTAGGCAATTACCGGAAGCTCTTCCAGCTAATACGCACCACTGGTCCGAGAAAACCAGGCGTCAGTGAGACAATCAGGGACAGCGCGGGTGCGCTGATACACAATAAGGAGCGCCGTATGGCTCGTTGGGCTGAGCACTTTGAACATCAGTTCAGCTGGCCCCCTGCTCCCGGACCTCTTCCTACTCAGGTGATGCAGGACGAGCCATGGACGGTTAGTTTAGAGCCTCCGTCGGAGGCCGAAGTCCGAAACGCGATCCCAGCCCTTAATCGTTTTCGTGCCACTGGCCCGGATTCCCTACCACCTGCACTATTTAAGGATGGTGGTGAGGTCCTCTGCAAAGCACTGACCTCCCTATTCGAACGTATCTGGAACGAAGAGAGTGTGCCGGCTAATTGGAGCGAATCGATTATAATGGCAATATACAAGAAGGGCAGTCGCACAGACTGTGCGAACCACAGGGGTATTAGCCTAACGCCAGTTGTGACAAAATTACTGGCCTCGATTATCGTTCGTCGCCTCACTGCAGAACGGGAATCTCGGATTAGAGAAGAGCAGGCCGGTTTTCGCCCAGGATGTGGCTGTATAGACCATATATTTACTTTGCGGCAGGTGCTAGAGCAGCGCCACGCATACCGCAGACCGACAATAGCTGTGTTCCTTGATTTCAAGAGTGCGTTCGATTCAGTCGATCGATCGATTCTGTTCGAAATACTTGCGCGGAAAGGTGTTCCCACGAAATATGTGAACATCCTTCGTGCTCTATACTCGAACACTAGAGGCCGCGTCAGGGTCTACGGCGTCCTATCAGATAGTTTTTCGACTACAAGTGGCGTTCGTCAGGGTTGTCCGATTTCCCCGTTTTTGTTCAATTTCGTCGTGGATTCTATCATGGAATGTTCCCTTGCGGATTCTCACGATGTAGACGTTGAAGTGCTGCCTGTTGAAAGATTGGTTAATCTAGATTATGCGGACGATATCGTCTTGCTTTTCGACAGTGTTGAGGCGGCACAATCAACCCTGAATAGCCTATCCAGAGTGGTCCCATTATTTGGTGTGCATTTCGCACCTTCATAGTGCAACGTGTTGCTGCATGACCACCAGCCACTTGATGCCCCCTTGAGGCTTGCTAACGAGGAACTCGAGGTGGTTGATCAATTCACTTATCTTGGCAGCTGCATCAGCAATGATGGGCGCATACAAACTGACGTCAGCTCACGCATTACGAAATCCAGAGCTACCTTTTTGAACCTGCGGCATCTTTGGCGACAGAAGGAGTTTCCCTCCGTCTGAAGGGCCGTTTATAAAAGGCCACAGTGAGGGCCGTTCTGCTTTATGGCAGTGAGACTTGGCCCCTTCGGTCTGAAGATCTGAGGCGCCTTCAAGTCTTTGATCATCGTTGTCCGCGAAGCATTGCTGGTTTCGGATGGCACCAGCGTGTCCATAACGATGATGTGCGTAGGCGAGTACTAGGTGATTCTAATCATGCTAGCTCCCTAGAACAACAGATAGCACTGAATAAGTTGCGTTGGCTCGGGCACGTGCTACGTATGCCTGGTCACCGTTTACCTAGGAGGGCCTTGTTTAGTCTGCCAGGTGTAGGGTGGCGCAAGGCTCGAGGTGGACAGAAGTTGACTTAGCAGCGGCAAATGAAGTCACTGACGACGAAATTGGGTGCCGTTGGTCCATCTCGCCTTCCGGGCTAGAGTCCACGTGACTCACCATGTGCTTGGCTCGAGACTTTACAGGACATGGCTCGCAACCGACACCAGTGGCGCGTCTGCTGCCGTCTCCTAATCGGGTTGTTAGTTTAAAGTGTATTTGGTGCTGAGTTATCTGCGGGGTAATGGCTGATTATGACGCGTGGCAGTGAAAGCCGCAAGGAAGCTGTCTCGCCGATGCCGCCTTATCTGTGCACGATAGGCAACTGTTTGTGACGGTATGTTGTCTACACAAGATGTAGGCGCCTTGACCCTGAATGTTTGTTTAGGGCATTAAGGTTTTCAGGTAAGTCCCCCTTCTCTCCCTCTTCTTTTTCTTTATTTCATGGGTCCTCATGGTTGTATGGCAGCGAAGCATCAGTTCAAATGGCTGATATACTGCTGTTGATGATGATGATGATGATGATGATGATGGAAGCTCACATGCTTTTTACCATCTTGAAGACCTTCAGAACCGCTCGTTTCAGACTCCTTGGATTTTATGAACCTGAAGGCTCATTTTGGTGTTCATTTCTCCGGTGGTTATAAGAGATTGATGACCCGGTACACGACCGGTTAATGTATTTATGATGATACACAACGTTTCGCATTTGACACAAATGCTTCATCAGGCGAAGCATTTGTGTCAAATGCGAAACGTTGTGTATCATCATAAATACATTAACCGGTCGTTTACCAAGTTTTCTGAAATGATGACTTCCTGATCGGTTCCAAATATGTTCCAAGATATTGAGATTGATGACCCGTTTCTATCGTATCTATCATACGATAGAGCGGCCTACGAATCCGGCTCCACTGAACACCTTTTGCTTCGCATGGTCGGAGATCATATCTGCTCATCATGGGTTTCCAACAACACTCTAAACTGGGTGACTCCTTACCTTTAGGATGCAAGTCCGTCAAAATCCGTTTACAGTTGGCCTTGATCATATGCGTAGCTTCCAGTGCGGTTGGAAAATGTGTTACTTGCCCTTACTTATAAAGATGGGGATGCAATTATCTGGTAGTCACGTGCCTAACTCTAAACACACATCAGTCGTACTATTATGGCTAAAGTGGTCGTCTCCCGAGCCGGCTTGCTCAGCGCCCGCTTTAGTTGCGGCACCCATGTGCAAGTTTCAATGACTCCTGATTATCCTGAAAATTCACAGATATCTTCCAAGTCTGATCTTCCGACGGTGCACGTGCGCATCCACTTCCCAGTACCATTAATACTGAACTCATCCACTGTAGTATTTCTGTTTACACTTGGTTGATTGAAAAAACAAGGATATGCAGGTTCCTCCTAGCATTAATGACTGTTTGGAGGATCTTATCCCTTTGGTTTGAACTCCCGGACCTATTTAGCTTTCTTCAACTTTGACCCAGGAGGTGGTTTTTGCTTTACTGTTTTATCGAGGAATTTTTATTATCTCCAGTTGATTTCGAATGTCTATTTTTCTACGATCCTTTCGTGATTGAATACTCAATCGTGGTACTTTTTCATTTTAATTTCTATAGCGTGTGTTCCTTAACTTTAATGAGCTTGTGCTCATTGAGCACCAATTTATTCTCTACGTTCTGACTAATCGGTTCATATTTGCCCTGGCTCAGCTCCTTGCTGCCCAGTTTTTGTGGCATTTGTTTACATTTTTGTTCGATTAGACACAGACTGACTCCACACTCCCTTTATTAGGCTCGGTAGCGTAGTTCGTCCAATCTCTTGACCATGTTGGTGTATCGTACAGCGTCTATACTTAAGTGTCAGTTGCTGTTTAGTGCCATCTATCCTTTAACTACCTGAGGTCGTTTCTGTTCTCTGAGCATAGGTGCATTGTACTCGATTGCCTTTTTACTCACATCACCATAGTAATACAAGTAATAACCAAGTTCAGATAGAACTGCGAACAGTAGTCTAAAGGCACCTATTCACTTAAAATGGGCCTGAGAAGACCACACTTATGAGACGAGAAGGGTTAGAAATCGCAAACAGGGAACGTAGTGCACGTGCCGGAAGATGCCATTGATCACTGATGCGGCCGATCTTCACATATGGCCCGCGAAGACCTGCTTCACAGCTTCGACCAACTTATTCAGTCTGTTGTTACTCGGAGCCTAATCACACCTGTTTATTTCTGACAATAATGGAAATCATCTGAAGCATAATCGCTTTTCCCGATTCCAAACGATCGAGTCTTATCTGTGACAGTATAGTCCTGAGCTTATGGTAATTCCAACTAAGAATTTCAGAAGACGAAGATTATGGGATGACATTGTCATTTCGTGCATAGCCTTTCGTTTCACACCGATACTAACTAGCAAGCAACCCTGAACTGGCTTTTTCCATCAGAGATACTGCCGGGTTTCCATGGCTTAGGCGAACGACACAAAACTAAGCAGTCTATCTGAGCTCACTGTCCATGGTGCAGTTCTCTTACGCCACACTTTTTCTTTCACGTCTGTTGCCGTACCCTTCTCGGGACACTGTCGGGTTTATATCGGTTTCTTTCTCTCAGTTTTCGTGTGTGGCCATTTGGGATACATTCAATTCGCTCGCTTCAATCTTCTGGAAGAAATTTTGTCGTGGCAACATCCTTCTGGTTGTTTCTCATCCCATACGACTTCTGTGGATGCTGCTCACCCGGGTCCGGGAAGTCGGAAGCTAAAAACAGAACAAGTACTTTCAGGTTAGTTCCACGACACCATGTTATGTTACCTGTTACTTAAACCTTCATTCTCGCAGTGGGGCATTTACTGGCACCTTTCGCAGTCCCTCTCCCACTTTATTCATCCACAGACCGGCTTTTTTCGATCCACAGCTTCCTCCCAATGTAAGGTTGGCTTATATCGTCGTTGCAACTGAGCTACCCTCCGGCGGTTGGTTACTCCTGGCATTTCCCATTTGTTTTTATACTTACCATTCCTTATTTTTGCTGGCTCCCATATTTAGAATATCTGGCGTATTCGTCCACCCTGGTATAACGATTTGTTCATTCGTGAGCACTGGCGTTTGCAGCACTGTTCATTTCTTCTTTATCCTATCTACTTCACTCGGATAGCGATCGTTATACCATTTTTTACTGCCCACATTTTTATTTTAGCTCTCCTAATAACGTTTCCCTCACTTTACCGTCGATTACTATCGCCTTTTTACTGGTCCCTGATTTTCCCGACAATCAGCTTTTGTCTTAGCTCTCATTGACGTTGTCGATAATTTACTTCTCTATAGACATGCATCACGATTTTCCAGTCCACCATCATCTTCCTGGACACTCTTTTCGCTCCGCTCGTTTTCCAGATGGCTGCTCCTCACATATGCTGTCGGTTGCTGCTGGGGCATTGTCTGTATATCTGCGAACTTTCTTACTCGTTGATTACGCACATGATGGGAGTGACTCGATTAATCTGCACGAAAGACTGGTCGCTACTTATGCGTCACTGAATAACCGGTGAGTTTTTCAGACCCTTGCTGTTAATCAGTCTCCGACTTTTGTAATCTCCATCTCACATCAACGCTGTAGCTGTGAATGCAACACTTTTATAGTCGCATTGGTTCACCAAACTTAACATTCAGTATGTTTAAGTCTAAATGTCACTCCTGATTATAATTAATATTCTTCCGTATTTTTTAATTTGCTAATGGTCTACTTGTTACCCTCAGCTGTAGAATTACAACTAACCTTTCATATTGCAAGAAGAAAATGAAAGCCTCTGCATAACATGCATCCATTTGTTTTACTTAGCACAGCCTAGCACAATCGTCAAATTCCAGTTGGCTTATCATTATTAGACCCCATTATTCCGCGCAACGCAAAAGATCGCAGAGTTTACTAACTGTCGCGGAAAATTAAAACTTGCAGAATCGCAGACAAAATGGGAACTTCATAAAAACACTACTTTGAATTCCTTTTGTTGTAATCAATGTATTTGTATGCGGAAGAAATGCAATAACAGCCAGCTGGCTGCTGAAACATTCCTCTAGAGTAACATAACGCCAATCTGTCTACTATCTGCCATCCAAGTCCCCTTGTCTCCCCATTCACAGCTACGGTCGCAGTATTTTCCCTACCCTAATGTCACACATGTACCTATTAATTACGCAACCCTGTCCCATTTGTCTGCTCACGCTGTGCACTCACTCTTTTGTCTAGTATACAAACACTTTTCGTCCACATGCATATGAATGCATCCGTCACTTACGAACTGTCGAATCACAGTCTCCGGTAACCCACAAGATTTGAAACAACCACTCCGATTTAGGTATGTCGCTAAAGAAAACTGCTGCAGCATCTGCAGGCAGAGCGACTGATCTTTGATGCGTCTAGCGGAATTCAAACTGACGTGCAACTGCTTCTCCTGGGCTCCCATATGAGCCCAGGTGTTGTTGGCATCACAGGCTAGCTGGCCGTCTTTGTATAGATTTGTCGCAGCTGGACTCAAGCAGACAGCCACCTATCTAGGAATGCGCCGGACGGCCGTTTCGTCCTATCGGGGCTCTTCAGTAGGGCGCATCCGCTAAATCCTGCCGGACTCAAACCCACGACCTTACACTTACGAGCCAGCGACTTATGCCACTGAGCCATGGGTGACGGCAGTGAACCCCCATGACTGATATCTAACTGCGATATAACGTGGCTCATCCTCCACTGCCATGCATGTAATGAACGTGCAGAAGACAGGGCTGGCCCCCAGGTCAACAACTTCCTTTGCAAGCCACCACCATTCCTGGTGGCTTGTAAGCTGATAAGGTGATTACTGCTTATTGGCAGCTCACATGGCACCTCGATTGCTGGCGGCTTGCAAAGGAAGTCGTTGCTCTGGAGGCCATCCCTATGCACGTTCATGACAGTGGAGGATGAGCCGCGCTATATCACAGTTAGATATCGGTCATGGCGGTCCGCTGTCGTTGCCCATGGCTCATTAGCTGAAGTCGCCGACTCGTAAGTGTAAGGTTGTGGGTGCGAATTCGGCGGGTTCGCGCTACTGACGAGTCCCAATAGGACGAAACCGCCGTCTGGCACTTTCCTGAATGTGTGGTGGCTGTCTGCCTGAGTCTAACTGCGGCGCTTCTTCACAAGAACCCAAAAACTCTCCCTACTACACACTAGCTGGCCATTTTTGAAAGCTGGACGAATCAATAAACTCCACAAATGGAAAACATTATCGGCCGTTATCTACGCATTTCTGTGAATTCGGTAGAACCTGTACGGAGCTTAAGTGCCTCCAAAAATGTTGTGTCTGACAATCGTCACCAACTTTCAGACAGTAGCACGAAGCACCTTATTGGATTTTATTTTAATTCCTTTGCCATGTATATAGTGGATATGGGTTCCTTGATCTCTGTTTCAGTTAGCGTTCGCGGTGAAATCACGGAATTTTATGTTGGTGTTGTAAAATTTCGTTGTATTTTCGATTTTGATCGCAGATGAAATCTTACACCACCGCTTAAAACTGGGATCCTTGTTCATTATCCGATTTTTGTCGCTCGCCCAACAGCATGTCACCATGTCATGTCATGATGTTCGCTCTGTTCGACAAGGAGCTTAAATGTCGATTGTATTGTGAATGAGTCAAACCAAAGCAAAGCTTTACTTCGGTCGGTGACCGAACAGATTAAGCATCTGCATTGTAATCCTGGATCACCGGTTCGAATCCGTGCCGATGAAGGCGACTTCGCGGTATACCCAGCTCTTGCGCGATTGTTGGTGGTCGCGTGGCAGTGAAGTGTCGGGAAAAGTGTGCCGGTGTACTGCCTTGCCTTGATTTGTCGTGACTTTCGTGGCACAGTCGCTCCTTGACTCGTCCGGTCCTTACTCTTGCCTTTCAATATTGTGTATTGACTTCTCGTTCATAAGTCCGTGTTTTGGCGCCACAAACCCTGGTCATTCGTTGGCCTTTTCACCACTTCCGCCCAACGTCAATGCAAAGCAGCGATTGTGGCGACATACAAAGATATTTTTGTACTATTAAGCTCATTCGAAATGAAAAGAAGACCCATAGTGGTGTGATAATGCCACCGTACCACTGCGATTTTCAGTCGAGTATTCTGATCGAAATACGCCAGCGTTAGCATTATATTAGCAGATATGCTAACGGCGGCTACTGAGGCGGACTACCACGAATCGGTAGGGGACACAAAAGCGATCGAATCGCTTTCATTCAGCGAATGGGCATTACTTACGCTTTGTCACCTATTTTTAACGGCCCACCACCCATAAAGTTACTGTAAAGCAGCCAGCTTAAGACAAATGCTCTTGAGCCCTTCAGCCAAGAACCCAGGCTTCAAACGGCTCTAAAACGCTCCCTGACTACCTGGATTTGTAAGTCCTATAAGGCATAATCTGGTTGTTCGTTTTAAAAAGTTTCAGCAGGGTGTCGAGTTGATGTCCTTTGTGGATTGATTTGCTTTCAGTACCATAGCTTCCCTCAACAACATCACATTCCTTACCATCACTCCCCCTACTCAGACGAAAGGGTGTATTGAAAGCAGTCGTCCGTTTTCTGTTTACTCCCTATCCCGTCCGCCGGGCTTGGACTGTTGCCGAGAAGCATTTTTAGTTTTGCGCGTTCGGTTTTTCTTCTCTAATCGTAATAGTTACCGAAATGTATACTCCGATGTCGTGCAGCTTTGGTGACTTTAAATACCTATTGATCAACAATACTTGATTGAGAAACGTAAAACGGCACTACATTTTTCACTTTGGCTGCGTAAACCCTCATAGTTATACTCTGGTGGGTGTTTGATTCAGTGCATCTCGTTGCTTCCAATTATCTGCGTGGATGTTTGCTCCCACTGAAACGAAATCCAAGGTGAATTGAAGCACCGCTTGATGTTAATTTGGACGACTGATTATCCGCCACGCAATTATCTAAGCGCTGACTGGTAGTCATTTAATTGACCCAAGTGTACATCCTGCTGTACGTAACGGTTTCTCGCTCTACACCTTGATGCACGGACTTTTGAAGTTATGTCCCCGTGTTCAGCATATTTGCCGCCCAAACTGTCCATTGTACTCATTCGTGCACTTTTTCTACTCAAACTCTGCTTACTCATACAGGAAGTCCCTCAATAACTGTCACAAAATTCATGGCGCTTGTGACTGAACGCATCTTGGACTGCTCCGGAGCAAGCGTCTCTTGAAATATCCACATTCATAACTAACGAATGGCACTTCTCGATTCATCGATTGTGTTTCTTGAGCACGATGTATGAGTTGATAAATGCGCGCTACTTACCACGCTGTTGTCTCTACTGCAGTTGGCCAGCGCATAACCGAGTGCCTAATCTAGACAAAATTTGGTCTCCGGGTCAGTAGGTTTGGCATCCGCTTCTTCCTTCTCCGCAACCTATTGCTTTTTTACTCCTTACCGGATCTCAGGACTGGGGGAAAGTATAACCAGACAGGGATTCCCGTCAGGTTATGTTTAGCACCCTCACCGCGTTTCCTTCTCCCGCTCTGATTATTTTCCCATGAGTTTCTGTGCATTTCATAACCTTTTATTTAGCGTTCACCTTTAGCGTTAAGGTACGCCAGCATCAATCTAAAGCCCAACTGACCTCGTATGAGTTGTCACAAGACAGGCACGTAACCGCAAGGTCCAGACTACTTTGTAAAGCTGTGCTCCCTATGCACTTCGCGTCCCGTATCTGCCATATTCTAGTAGGGTGTTCTGACGACCCCAGAAATGTTGCGACAGTCTAAGTATAGAATCCCCAATGTTCATATATATATATATATATATATATATATATATATATATATATATATATATATAACACTTAACCAATAAACAATTGGCAGAGTGCCACAATACACCGTAATGAGCTTTATAGAGTGGATAGCGCTTCGACAGCTAGTCCGTGACCAGCTGTTTTCTCCTATTTACATAAGCTCCACTCGTACCACTTTTCTGGGCATCGGCCGGGAAGAATACACACTTGCCTTGTAATCAGGGGAGGTCGCCGGTTCGAACCCGGCTAGGTATGGGTGATCTCGCGTTATACCCAGTCCACGCGCGACTTGTTGACTGCATCGCAGCGAAGTGTCGTTACGGTTTGCCGGCATACTGCTGGGGATCGATTGAAATGTGTCTGTGCTAGCGCATCGACTGAGATTGATGGCTAATGCCTTACCCCAGCCACTGAACATCCGTAAAGCGGTCAACGTAAGTTTTGCCTCGTATGGACCGAAATAGGGCATCCAATCTTTGTTTTTCTACGCTATATCTCATACGTCTTAAGCGCAACGCCCTCCTCAACTATCAACTTAATAATCCTATTCCCAATTTTAACGAGACATCACTAGAGATGACGATCATCATTAATATTGCGCACCACACTTACCAGCCCTTCTTGGCGCCCTCACCTAGCTTCATCGTTTACCGTGCAACGCTGATGTTCACTTGGACCAATCTTACTTCACTCCTCTGGCTGTCCGTATTCCATCAACGTTGGTTCGACAGCGTTCTTTTCGTTTGTTGCGCACACGCGAACAGTGGTGCTTACGCTCCGAGGGCTCCCAACAACCGCATTGCGGCGTGATCTATTGCACCGACTAGTTCGATCATGCAAACTATTGCACACTCAGCACTCCGACTCCCACCTCGTTAAACTTACGTCTTAATCTGGCCATCACGGACTAATGCGTCATTCTGAAATTTCGCCTGGGTGTTAGCTCTCCATCCTTTGTGGCGCACTTTCAAAGCTGATGGGCATGTGATTGCTCATACTTTCTGACGTTGCCTGGAACCAGCTACGGCGGCATATGTGGCCCATTTGTCTATCTTCATGCCAGCTGTCGCGGAATCTTGATTTACATTTGAAATTCTCCTAACCCGCAATCGCCACTCACTCTGCAGCTACTCAGATCGTCGATATTTGTTTACCTGTCTATATGTGTTCACCATTTGTATGAAATTCCCTGACCAACAAGTACCCTTCTCACATTGTGGCCACCGAGGCTTTGGCACCGATGCGTTCCTTCTCCTTCACTGTGCGTGTATATGCATGTACTTTTGTTTATCCGGTCCCTCTCCCCTATTGCCCTGGACTTCGTGTTCACTGAATGACCTTGACCATGGTCTTCACCGAGCATTCGTTTAACCATGAGATCAATACTTGTTCTGGGCATTGGTGTATGCTATCTCCAATTAGAAACTAGCATGTCTGGTGATCGGTCAGGGGCTACAGGCTTGATTGTACACTTTCTCATTTGCATTCTTGTCGGCTTTAGGCGTGACGATTTCTTGGGAATCACCCCCTTGGGCGCTACCCCAACGCTAGTTATCTACCTCAGAACGCGAACAATTAAACACTGTAACTACCAAACGCTATCGTTGAGCTACGCATAGGAAACGATCCCAAATTGATCAAGAACAAAGACTGGATGCAAGATCTGCAGTGCTATTTACTACGTATTAATTAAATGCACAAACATACCTCAATTGTTCGCGTTTTGAAGCTAGCTTCCCTATCCTAATATTATATGCTTTTAGGCAGCAACCATATGGTGTCACCTCTCATTCTTATCTGCAATCCGCTTATTTAGCCTGCCCCTCATTATGACCAACACACATATGCTAATGTGTTGTCAGCCGGTCGTTGCTTGATATTTATGCAGCTTGAATCCATGCAACTTGTTTTTTTTGACAGTTACTGCTTGATACTCATATTTGCTTCTTTTTAACAGTTTTGCTTCGTTTCTGTAGAAGATCCGTTGCTGGTAGGCCATTTGAACTGGGAAAGGACCATTTACCGACGGCTTCATCAACACAAACTCTTCCTAGCCCTTCGATTTATCCACAAAGCATTTACTTGTTGACCCTGTATCCTGACCACTCCGTTCTTAGTATCGGAGGGTTGTACGACTTCGGATTCCTGTAACCTTACTTATGTTTTTGATATCTCTATCGCGCTCAGCCTCAGACTGCCACACTCCAGTGTATTACTGGAACCGATTTACTGTCACTACTTCTGTAGAATTGACGTTGTTTGCAATCCGTTTTCGCTTTGCTAGCCCTCAGTGTTTTTTCCGGTCCATTTATCACACTATGGGCGTACATCTCATAAACCATAGCCAAACCGAAATTTTTTCCATTCCTTTGAGCGCCTGATTACGTGAGACCACTGATCCAGTTAAAATACAAACATCTATTGAACATATAAATCGAATGAGTGCTTTTGGTGCCTTTTGTTTAGTCTGGTTTGTATGAAACACATTGTATATGTAGGATAGCTACCTTCTACCGATAAATCTGTTTATAGCTGGTATGGCACTGTCCTAGAACACCAGTAATCTTGAGATCCTTGTATTTTCTAATACCGCATGCTTTGCTTCCGTCTTACTCACATGTCCCCTCACACAATCTATCGCATCTTCATTCTTCTTTTCAGTAACATACCCAAGTTAAAGTCCGTACCATGGCTTCCCCACCGACAGTCCACTTGGCTTCCCTCGGTCAACATTGCCGTTTTGACTCGCCTGACCAAACCGCACGGTCTACTTCATTCCTCCGGTTTAAAAACCGAGTTTTCCAAACGCACCTCCTCACATGTTTTGGACGCCGGCGTCACATCTTTGCCACTCCTGTACACCGTGATTCTGCTAACCTTCGTTCTTCTTGTTTTGACTTGTATTCGAGTCCGTTGTTTCAGCCACAGGTCCAAATCATATGGCTGACTTAATTGAAGCATCGCTCCAGTCCTTCAACATCACTTATTATCTGTCTACATAGTCGTTCGTTTTCTGGCTGTGGGAACTCGCCTCCTTTGCTAGTTCCGTCCATTCACACATTACCTAATTATCAACACAGAACCGACTTTTTAACTGCTATACCATTTTGAGTGGTACGAGTTCAGTGCTCTTCACATTTTTCCTTATTACGTCGCTCCCTCGCTTGTCTTCACCGCCTTGTTGTATTCAGTCGCCTCGATGGCCATTCGTAATTTCTCGCCACCACCGCCATCTAGGAACTGCTTTATCTACACTTGAGATGTGTGTACTGTTCCTCAAAAGAAATTTATTTTCATACACTTGTGTGCTACATTTTCCTCACAGGTATGTATTAACGCTTAACACTCAGGATGTTCCATTGTTCTGCCTTAACTGTTCCTGATTCTTCACGCCCTGGATATTTGGCTTCTCATGATTTCTCTGACTGGTGGTAGTATGAACATCTTCCGATGCGCTGTGCGCAACCGAAGCATCCACTATTCTATCTCCGCATCTCGTTGTCATAACTTCGCACCTCACTCCCCGAATGTTTGTTTCCTCTTCGATTCAGTCTGGCTTTCGCGACATTCCTGTCTGCGTCCATCTCCCCTCGCGAATGTTACAAACGCCATTCTGCTATGACATCGTAGTTCCTGATTGAGTAACGTTCACATACCTAGTTACATTTCTTTACGTGCTTACCGTTACACCTGACCTGCACGAATGTGTTGATTCAGATGGGCACCACAATGCGATTATTGTTTCTGCTGTTATTGTTGTTGTTGTTGCTACTGCTATTGTTATTATTGTCCTCGGACTCAACGTCTGAAAGATATTAATCTATGTCCTAACAACTACCTTGCACAGATGCTGGCCTACCGATTAGTTGTTTCCAGTCACTTCTTGATTTTCTATATTTGCTCACTTTACAGCGGCTGACTATTAATTCTGTCACAGTACAGTTCGCGTACCAACGATAAATCACCAGCTGTACGCCTTAACAGCGCTTCTCTGCCGTGCGACCACCACCACTCGCGCGTGTACTGAGTATACCGCAAGAATACCCGCCCCTACACGTAATCTATCCGGTGGCCTTATGATTGCAAGCCAGGCGTGCAGACCACTGGGCCGATGCCCGTTTGTTGCAGCAGTAATCGCTGTGTAAAGCGTCTTGTGCCAACTGAACCTAAATCACTAAAGTCGCCGAAGGGGATCGCTATATTGTACTCGCAGTACTTGACCAAGGGAAAACACTGTAATGAATAAATCATAATGTTTGGAAAAAATATAGCAGCATTTGGAGGCGGATCCATATAGGGTGGTTGATAATAAAACCGTGACGGCAGTAGTGATTAAGAGTAAGACGGAAGTTGGTGACTATTTAAGAACCGTGAAGGACTATTTAGGAGTAGATAATGGGTACAGTCTACACCCGAAATCGACTATACCTCTAAGAGACTATGGTCTGCCAACGACTCACATAGTCGTCGATATAGGCTCTCCGACCTCTAAACTCGTTTGACATTTGCGGAGGGGGGGGGTATTGCATCCTCTGAAGGGACGAACGCGTATATTCGTGAAGAACTCCTACGAGTTCACCGAAAAATCTCACCATCGAGCCAGATCCACTGATGATATGCTTCGATGTGACCTCCTTTTTACCAATGTACTCAGAAGCGAGGCGCTAAAAATAGCTATACATAATCTAAATGAAAACATTACTCTGTGTAACCGAACGAAGCTTGAAGGTGATCAAGTAGTCGAGAGTATGACAGTGTGCCTTAACATGTACTTCGTTTTTCAGTCTAAGCTTTACAGTCAGGATCATGGGCTGACCGTTATCGCTAATCTCCCTTGTACTGGCGAACATGTATATGGGAGGCTTAGAAAACAAGACGTTCACAAACACCACTAGCTCACCCCGAAACTGTGGCGACGCTACATAGACGACGACTAGTTGTTTTACCACAGACTCCATTGACGAGAGGATACAGTTTAATATTAAGTTGAAAACTTGTATCGGTACAACACTATTTCTTAACTGGTTAGTTCACAAGAATCAGGGAATTGAAAGACGACCATACATCACAAACTGACAGATATTGATGGCGTACTTTATTACACTTCGGGTTATCCGAAACAAGTTTACGATGGGATAGCCTCAGAGCACAAATCCTGTGCACGATGGAGGAAGACAAAAAGCCTGCACGGAAACACGGCGGTTACTCAAACGCCATTTACAGCAAGTGTTAAACAAACAGTCAGGATCCACAACGGAATGGATAGGAGCGGTAGGAATTCCGTACAAGAAAGGCACCTGAAAGATAATTCGGAGGGTACTAAGGAGGGAAAGTATAAGGGTAAGCTGCCAGCGGTGTCAAACACTACGTCCGGTGCCTTTGCACCTAAAGGACCCCCTTCCCAAGGATAGGACAATTAACTGCGTCTATAATATTATGTGTAAGGACTATGCCCCATGCAGAGGCTGATGCATTCTTGATGCTTCTTCACCGCAATTGGGCTAAATCAAGTTACACTCAAACTAGGTCTTTTTAAGCTGGATAAGTTTCATTCCACTTTATTTGGTTTGTTCTGTCTACCTGAATAATCTTCTAATAACTGGCCACTTTGCTTACGCTAAGTGCTCTTATCTTCGGTAACTTTGTTGCGTTTGTAGCATTTGCTGAGTCACTTCTGGATATTTTTTACTTATCGCGGATTCGTTGCTGACCAACTTACTTCATATGCTAATTTAGCGAAGAGTTATGCCACCGTATCTATATGCATTATTGGATTTATTTACTTTCGTCTTGTTCCAAATGATTGGCTGTTGCTTGATATCCCCGGTGTGACTGCGCTTGATATGCATGTTGACAAGGTGCCTACCTCGTTCATACTGGCTCCAGGAGACAGTTGGTCGTTGCTGGGGGGGGATGGGGTGCACGGTCCTTGTGGTCGTGCTAGGCACGAAGAGTGGTTCCATGCACTCAGTGTGGAGCGGATTACGGTCCAGCCACCGCCTTGTGTGCAGTTGATTCCCCAACTACAGTGTGCTTGTGTTTGCCTGTGAAGGAGTGTGGGCCGGCTCCGGTGATGAAACGTGACTCCTATCCAAATGCCTCCTGGTCTTCTTCCTTCGGGTTTACACTGGATATGGGTTGTGTGATTGGAGCTGTGGGTGGTGCAGCGCAAGCCACCCATGGTCCCTTTGTAGGCGCAGGCGTCCTGTGGCTGGCCACAGTGACAAGCAAATCCGATTCCGGATGCCGCCGACCAAGGACTGTGCACATATATACATAAGTCAAACTACGAGCGAACTACGCACACGGATTTCAGAGCTCAAAAGACGCATTTTACGACCACCAACGAACGAGTTTTAATTCAAGTCACTATTAAGTGGCTCAGTCGTCTCTGTGAATGCATTAGACACAGGTCACCAGATTGACTTGGATAACGTTGCAATTATTAAGAGGCATACGAACAACGTTTCCGCGGTGGATTGCCAGCACATTGTCATTTGCCGGATCGGACAGCTATGTGAATAGAATGGAAGGTATCGAACTCTCAAGTGCATAGCGAGCGATCTTAATCCGACCGGTCTGACGAGCGTCGATGTGCAGCTCAGATTGAAATGCACCTCGACTCCCCATTGTCACCACTATGGGCCTATTCCGTCAAGTCAGATTAAGCTTTATCCACCCGTATGGGTGTATTTTCACACCAAAACTACGGTATACAATACAACAAAGCATCAACGAGAAATAACAGTTGACAACTGTGAACGAAAATTCGCATCTTCAATCAAGCATGCGGGTCATTCCTATTGGATCGATTAGTAAGCGTGATGAAAAAAATAAGCATGATAGAGTTTCAATACGATGATGTACGAGAATATAGCGATTTAAATTTTGGCCGTGTGGACAAAGTAAATATAGTACTGGCTAGGATAGCGTCTAAAGCATGAGAGGGGTCATTTGAAATCTTGGATGAAAAGTTGGTGCATGCATCGAAATGTTGTTTAACAATGAAATCTGCACTTTTCTTTCCCTGAACCGGGGCAGCGAGAAATAAATTTTAGCGAACGGACAAGAAAGAGCAGATGTGCCTTCATCATGTAATCCGTTTTGTCCATTAGAACCGTTAGGCGTCCTTCGTCGGCCGGCATTATAACTATGCTCTTGTCCTCTTTGAGATTCATCAGAGCTTTTTGTTCCGTGGTGCTGAATATGTTGGTTTCAACATTCTGACTAAGAGCCGGAATGATCGTGTGTCTGATCTCTTGTTGTGCCTCAGGTGCGATGTTGTATGACTTTAGCGTCGATTCCAATGTGGAGAGGAAATCGATGGGATTGGAGTCCTTGACATTGAGCTGCATACCTCGGACAATGACTGCTTTTTCAGCGTTCGTTAAACTTTTCTTGGATAGGTTCATAATCCACCCATCTTCTCTAGTCGGCTTCTGTTGCAAAATTAAATTCAGCTTCTCTTCAAGCTTCAGTTTGGTGCTGCAGTTCGTTTTGTGTGTTTTGACGGCTATCGCTTTTTCCAATTCTTCAGCCAACTGTGATCCTAACTTGGCTAAGCATATCGCTCTCTGTTGGTCAGTTACCATTTGATATTTATGCTTCCGACTGTGCGCATCTGTGATCAGCGGGCTCTGCTTTCGTCGTCCATGTTGTTCTGTCATCTTCCAAGTCAAAGAATGGTTGATCGGGGGGCGTTAGTGCAGACTCGGTGGCAAAACCTGCCTTCGCAGGCATTCATGAAGGAAGAACAGTTGGTCGTTAGTAGAGGATTGCTGGCTGGCAAATGTCTCCCATTGATGAGTAGATTTCAGCGCGTCGCGCTCAGTGATTTGAAATGGTTGAGAATATCCGTAACTAAGGATGTGGATGTGGTTATTGCACTGCTCTCTGAGTTGAACGATTATTTTGCAGATGTTTCGCTGCCAGACTAGGCAACGTCCTCAGTGCGACTTTAAAGTTCTGTTTCGCAGAGGCTCGTCCGCGACTTCGAGATATATGTGCTTATTGATCGAGTTCTGCTTTGAATACTAGGTCTCACGTACTCGCCGGCCTGTGACTCTTCCGAGTATTTCGGCGTGCTCTAGGTATACGTATGCACCGATATCAAAGAGATCTGATCATGGCGATGGATTGCTAGGCTATTTTCATGTAACCGTGTACCAAACTTCCTTCCTGTTTGTCCTATGTAGCATTTATCATAGTCTCAGCAGCAGATCTTGTAGATTACACCAGATGTCTCCCACTGGCTAAGTTTATCTGTTACTTTGAAAAGTTTATTTCGAATTGTTTGTTGGTTGGTGGGCAATTTTGACTCCCAAAGGCAACAGAAGTCTCGCTGCCATTTCAGAGATTCCGTTGACGTAAGGCAGCACGGCTCGTTTTTCAGCCGGTGTGTTTGTTGAGGTGTGTTGTGTTGCGTTCTTTGGGGCCAAGCAGCGCAGAATGAAGTCTTTTTGGTACGAATTCCGTTTGAACAGGCTGAAGATATGGTCTTCCTCCGCCTGCCTCAGTTGCCGCGTGCTACCATTTGTCCGTGCCCGTTTGAAAAGTGTCAGCACACACCTACGTTTGTGGACTGCCGGATGATTGCTGTTGTAGTTGAGGATCTGGCCCGTTTGTGTTGATTTTCGGTAGACCATGGTTTCCCGTGGTCCCGAATCAGTCCTACGTATGAGAACGTCTAGAAATGGCAACTGCCCGTTGTTTTCCCTCGTGAATTGGATGCCATCAAACACAGTGTTGATTAGCCCATGTGTCTCCTCTAATTTGGCATGTTTGAGGATGACGAAAGTGTCGTCTACGTAACACACCCAAAGTTTCGGTTTCGCAATTGGAAGTGCTATCCGTTCTAGCGCTTGCATCACTGCTTCGGCTGCCAGTCTAGAGATCGGCGATCCTATTGGTGTGCTTCTTGTCTGCTGGTAGAACAAGACGAAATAATGTCCTCTTTTGACGTGACGGCGCTGCTCACATTGATCAACATTAACTTGGGGAAACAAACAATGGCTGCTCTACTGGAGGAACACGCAGATTCCGGTACAAGTAGTAAAATCGACGCCGGACAAATGATGGAATTGCTGGGATTCTGTCTAACAACACATTTCACCTTTACCGGTCAAATCTACCAGATGTTTCTAAGCCTGTTCATTTTCCTCCTCAGTTCTTGACCAATGGGGATGAAAATGTGTCATTTCGCAAATAAATTGTCTCAGTGGGGAAACATAGATCAAAGCAAAAGTTTAAATAAGTGCTCGCATTGATTTGACAAGTCACCATTTGTGAAAATTCAAAACCTTATGAAGACAGCGTCCATTTCAGTTTTTCGATGTTATCTGCTGAGCAGTTGCGTCGTTTAGCAGTTCTGGATGGTCTTTTTGTCAGCGTAGCACAGTTGGTCTTACTGTATAACTTGGGACATAGCTCTACTATGCAATATACCGAATTACCAATGAATGCGAGCTTTTGTGTAGAAAACAGTTCCGCTTTGGAAATAGTTGGTTGTTGCTCTTCCCAACACTGACACACCTCGTTTACGTCCTGGTTTGGACTCGTCAGGTGGAGATAGCCTAAGCTGGGGTGGAGCTCAGAGCTTATTAGTTCACGGCTGACGCCCTGAACACTATGCTACTGAGATTTTCGATCAACGCTTGCCACAGCGGAAAGTAATTCAAAGCTAAATTTAGGGAGCACGCTGTATGGTTAGGTTGCGACTCGCAATCTCTATTGAGACCTCGGTTAACTTTGAGGTAAACCTCTGTCATTCCGTTCTCGAGGACCGTATCCTGAATGGAAATAATTGGGTGTTGCTCTTCCCAACACTGGCCCATCATGACCACGGTTTCGTCCTGCTTTGGAGTCGTCAGGTGGAGATAGCCTGATCTGGGGTGGAACTCAAAAGAGGTTGCGAGCCGCAACCCAACCACACAGCGTGCTCCTTAACTTCAACTTTGAACAGTTCCGTTTTGTTTATAAACACTAAATCTAAATGCGCCTCGAGTTTAATAGGGGATTTCGCGAAATTGGCTAACCCCATGGTATTAATGATAGTTATGTCACTCCCATTGAATTCGCCGACGAGAACACAAATGAAGCACCATAATTTTGGTTGCAACTCTGGAGTAAGGTGGTATGCAAACTTCTGCAGCTCGATCAGCATTCTATCAAGAGCTACATACACGTTCCTAACTACGAGTCAGAAAACTACGTTTTTACTCCAATAGCTAACAGCTCACTGAAGTTGTTGAGTACTGCGAGAATTTTTGAACGGGTTTACACCAATCTTTGTTAACGTAAGTTATGACTCCTCCCCCACGGTGTTATGGATGGGTCACCTGGGCGGTCGGATCTACTGTGGTGATAACCGTTGAGATTACGGACTTCATCACCTATGTCAGAATGCAACCAAGTTTCCTGCAACGCCACTATACCTATATTTATAAACTCCCTTTTCTGCAAAATGTTCGTTAGATCATCCATTTCCGCTAGAAATCGTATATTGCTGGACAGCATCAGCGGAATTTACGCCTTGTTAACGGAACAGCGCCATGACACAATGGGACACATGGACTATTCCCATTGTGGCTGAACCACTTGTGGTGACACCCTGAACTGTAAGTGGAATAACACCTGAGCTCATGTCTGCATTTATGAAATTATGTTCCCTGTTCGCTATACCATGCTACTCCAATTATATACTGATTCATCTGGCCTGACGAAGCTTTTGTGTCAAAAGCGAAACGTTACTCAACAAATACACCAACCGATTTCTTCCAAACATTTGAACTCATAACTTCTCGATCGGTTCTAAGATTTGGAGCCCCCTCCGTAATTTCCTCTCCTAGTGTACTTAATCTTTGCTGTTCGTTTTGTCTGTTTCTCCCCAGTTCAGTTGTCTGACTGAGCATAGCTTTGTGGAGCTCACGAATGCACTATTTATTTTTGCTCAGTGTCTGTTTTTATCGCTAAGCAGGTGACGCTGTTGTTCTACAGTTGGTATTCGGCAGCGGGAGTTGTGGCGTTTCGCTAGGTCGTCTAACGATTTTACACTATTCACTAATTAGTCACCTTATTCCATTCTCACTCGACCACGCACCCACTTCCGTTTAATAAAAGACCGCATCTGAATCTACGTGCCACGACGGGGTTCGGATAAACTTAATTATGTTAATTCCGTCTACTTTTGTCCGTATTGCTATTTTTCCGATTGTCACTCTATTGAGTTTATCTTGAGATATAGCCAATTGATTGGCTATATTTAAACGTGGAAAGTTGTGCTTTCTTCATTTCAATTTGTCTCTATTTGACCATTTTGATGAGAAGTGTACGTTTTGTTTCTCACCTACTTTGCAAATTGCTTTCACGTGCAACTCAATGAACCGTCAAAGCGGATTCGATGTGCTATACTTCTTTACGAGTCATGGAAACCGCCGAAGATCGGTTCGCGCCCCCCTTTTTAACTGCGTTCTGATGCATTCAAGACCAGGACTTAGCCTCCAGCGTTCCTAACTTCATTTCATTTCTAGACTCTAGGTTACGTGATCACGCGAACATTCTGTTCTATTTACGCCAGCTGCTTCAATGTTTAATTAGATTATCTGTAAATCCCTGTGCGATAAACTCGTACGCCAGGGATTATCGAGAGCGTTCAACCTGTGCTTTTCGTTCCTTTTCTGCGCCTTATTTGCCGACACAAAACTCACCATTTATCGTATTCCTTAACCGATTTCGCTGTATTTCACTTCTTTACTCTAGCGTTGCGAAGTCCACAAGCCATTAAACACTTAGAAGATGGCGATCACCCCCACCAGTTTGGCACAACCGCTCCGTTCCGTTTTTTTCGGCATAATGTGGTATCCGTTCTTACTTGTTTCTACACAGTGAGTTCAATGTGCTTTGTTGCTGTGTGCCTCCATCACTCAACGTGCATCGTGCAAGATACCTGTTTCCATCCCTTTGGATACTATTTTATCACCGGATTCCTTTCTTAGAACTTCGAAACTGGCTATTCATAACTCCGCGCACTTTCTTAACGGTTGCTTCCCGAATACGCGCATCTACTCTTGTCTGTACACGGTGAAATCGTGCTAATTGCGCGAAATGATTCATCTTGCCGCTCTGCACACTGCTGTTCAACATGGTTCAACTTATACGATCAAAGTGATCGCAGCGCCTCTATGTTCTCTCTGCTACTCCTACATACTACATATCTTTAGAAGTCTCGATGTATATAACTAGGCCATTTCCATAACTAACGACACTTCAGTATTCCTGAAACATTGGAAATAAAAAAACCAGAAAATATACGGTGCTTGAACAATAATCAAAAAACAGACGAAAAAAACCATCAAAAAATTATTGTACTCTATTTTTGCTTAAATTGGATCCATGCATATTCCCTAGGCCTATATATAAATATATATATATATATATATGTTATATATATATATAATATATATGTTATTATATATATATATATATGTATATATATATATATGGCGACCAGCCGAAAACATCCGCGACGTTTTCTATCAGTTATGCCACTACGCATGAACCTGTTCATAGCCTAGGGAATAGGCCCGGTTCCATTTATCCACTTTAAGCAAATACAGAATAAAACAATTTTAATCGTTTTTCAAGCACCCTCTTTTTGCTGTTCTTTTTTATTTCCAATGTTTCAAGAATGCTGTAGTGTCGTGAGTTATGCAAACGGCCTGGTTATATACATCGAGGCTTCTACAGGCTTGCCATGCTTTAACTTTTTGCTGAGATTGCTTTGTTTACTAAACTGTTTGTCCCTGCATGATCCAGTTTCGCGACAGTGTCACTGCAAAGCAATATAACGTCACAGAACGGTGCTTATTTGCTGATTGGGGCGCCACCAGCCGTGCAAACATCTGCCCCATTGAACATATGGGAATGCAACTTGGCTAGCAGTTGGGGAATTTGAAAAAGCAGGTGGATAGATTTCGCATACTGCTGTTGGCTAAACGTACAACCGATGGCGTATTGTCTGGTTATGTTTCGAAGAGCAATCGGCGATGGATCACGCCGGGTGTTTACATCGATCTAGTGCGACCGGTCTAGAGTCAGTTATCCGAAAGTTCGGCGATTTATGCGAGGGTCACACTAACAAGTCGTATTAGCGGTATCTCATTCACTCGAAACAGACGCCGAAACAAATGTATGGAGAACTGCATTGCGGAGCTGAATTTTCTAGCTCGTAATTCTAATTTTCACTATTGTATGGCTGACAGTCTCATCAGATATAAGACTGTGTTGGGGATCAATAGTGAAAAGATTACCAAGCGGCTGTTACAATAACGTCATTCATCTCTCAATCAGTGCATATTCAGCTTCACGCCACATGCAGCATCTACGGGTACCGTATCCAGCTTGCCTGACAAAACTGCGAAATATGTTACCAAAACACACCACGCAATTGCGGGATAGTGCGCTTTACATGGAGCTCGGTGCTTGGACTTCGTCTGTTTCTTGTTTTCAAAACCGATCTAGCAACATCATCGCTTCTTATTTCCTATTCGCCGATGGTATCAAGATATGGTTAACGGTCAGAGGACCGGGCTCTAGTGCTACCTTAACACGATTATGAACTGTTCAGTTCAGTGTGCCGTACCACTCAGTGTAGATAGATGTCGTCTTCTTCAGCTACGCCATAAGCACTACTACATATATTGTCTTCGAGCACACAAATTGTGGACCACTTCCCAGGAACCCCACCTAGGCGTGCTCATACAGCGCGACCTCGGTTGTTTAAAACAGGCTAAGTCAGCTGCGAAGTGGCAACCCACAAATCGGCGTGCTGCGAACGGCATACGGGCGTTTCGACCCATCAATATTCCCCATGATGCACAACTGTTGCGTGCACCCTCATGTTGAATGTGCTACCCAGGCTTGGCAATCTGGGTTGAAGCGCGACCTAGAGGTACTAGTGACACCATAACGCAGGACAACAAAGAATGCCACGAGTCTACGCAGTTATCCTTGCCAGCAAAGTTGAAGTTGATGGCAGTTTTCAGCGGACATTATCGGCGGCAACGCAGTGATCTCATATTAGTGTACCAAATACATGATTCCAACCATCTATGCCACCATTTGCTGAAACTTAGTCACAACTCCAAGCTGAGGTAACTGCCTGAAACGGAGCCAACCATACAGCAGTCTAGAGTTCGGCGCAATTACTTTTCTCCTCAGGTTGGCCAATCCCGGAACTCTCTCAAACTCAGTTGTCTTCTCTAATTTGGATATTCCCAAAAAACGATTGCGTGTTACTCTTAGTTCCTAGCACTTCGTTACTTAAGTTGTGCTACTCTAGAATACTTTTATCTTGCATACATATCGAATTTGTGTATCACATTGTTTGGTCTCACTCGACAGACCATTTCAACGGCTTACGAACGAACTGTCACTCTTTCAAATCCAACATTGCTTAGAGCAGCTACAGGTCTCATGACAAATTCACCCGGCGCGCACTATAAGCTTAACCACGAAAATTCTCAATCACACCCTTGTGTAATCTGCCCCACATTCACGCTGACACACTCGACTGGTATGCCAGAGAGGAAAGTCTGCGAGCATACAAGTGCAACGTGAATACTGTGACCTTGCCGACGACGTCAGTAACAGAGCAACTTTTACCATCGAGGGTGAATCATTCAAACGCGATGCCCAGTGTGCCACAGTCTAAAGACCTATGTGGCTCACGTTCCAAACTTGTTAAGGGGCGCATTCTGTGCCGTAACTGTTGCAAGCTTCTCCTTGCGAGATGCCGAGTTAAACCTAGCCAGGCCAAGTTATTAAACAAACCAGATTCTATATGGTTCCGCGTGGCATGCACATCGACCCCACTGTTAACAAGCGTGCTGCTATTATCTCAGAAGTTTGAGGAAATGGTGACCACCAAAATCACTACGGTTGGGGTAAGCGTTGCGGACTGTGCAACCCAATTCTCCCCCGTAAGTGCTGCTCCTATCCCGAGAAGAACAGCTACTAACACCGTAAGCAACACAACACCCAGAGTCCAGAACAACAACTGCTGTTCAAATACCACACATGGCTCATATTTGGCTAATGCGCTTCCCAGTTTGATCGGAGTAACTACACATAAGGCTACTTCCAATCTCTTGACGGAGTGCGTAGAAAAAGAACAAGCCGGTACTAGCAAAAGTTGGGTTACTGTTGCTTCCAAGAAAAGCCGTCATTTAAACTTAACATCACCCCTAACTGGATCGGAAACTGAGGAGCGTAGCGCAGTTTTTCTAGTGCAAACACCACCGCTTTCCTGTGGTACATCTTCGGCTACTTCAATCACTAACCGCGACTTGTCGAATGATGTAAATAAATAACTACGTGTACCGAGCGTACTGTGCTCCAATATCCCAGAATCAAAGTTGACATCAATAAGAGGCAGGCAGTTGGATGACGTCAACCAGTGAGATATTATTGGTAACCTAATCGGAGTTGTACTGAAACCTGTACACGTAGTGCGTATTACGCGACAACCCAACTCCAAACATTTCGGAGGGCCAAAACTTCTTCCTGTTGTGTTGAACTCCATCACTGAAGTAGAATCAGTACTACTGTCGACAGGTAGTCTCAGAAATGAACACTGCTCCATCCGTATCTTTCCAGACATCCCATGAGGCGTGCGTTATCGAGTTAACCGCACCTTAGAGGACTACCGGAAGAAAACTTTAACTAGAGTCATACTTCTTCACGGAGTTCCTGAAACAGAAGCATGTGATGGGCATGAAGTAATAACGCATGATAAAGAACAGTGGTGTTATATTCGTTGAACACTCTGCTTGGATGATATGTTAGCGAAATCCGTGTCACGGCTACATACCTCACCGAACTACAAAGGAAGTGGCCCGAGAGTGTTGTAGGTGGTCCTTTAGTCAAAACATATAGTAGCACGGCTGCTAAAAAGCTTGTACATGTTCCGTTGCAGACTACCATCTGAGCTTCGGCTGAAGATAGTCAGCGATATGCCTCCTAGACATGATATCAACGAACCAAACGCGATTTGATCCATAAAAGACCAATGCATCAGTAGTGTGACAAATGAGCCCATACAACCTGTAGAAGATGATATTGACCCGAAACCTTACACTGTACTTAAAAGATTAGACACGGGACTAACTACGCGGACGATGAATAAGTGGTTAAATCCTTCACCAAGTATACATAAATAAAACGATTTGTCGCCGGCCGCTCACTGGTCGGCGAGACTTCACGTATGAGTTGCACAACCAACGAAACATTGCTTAAATCTGGGAAACTTTCATGTATGTACACTAACACCCAAGGGCTCCTCAATAGACTTATCGAACTTCGGCTACGTCAGGTTGCGAATGCTTGGGACCTAATTGCTATTACCGAGACTTGGTTACACCAGGAGGTGACTGATGCTGAGGTTGGGATAGCCTGAATATCACTCATCCGGAACGACCGCCCCAGCAGAGGAGGTGGGGTCCTACTCTACTACCACAGCGACCTACAATGTGCAGTAGTTGATGATCTGAAAACTCACGTTACCGACTCACTCTAGTGCTGTCTCCGACTAAGACACAACGACGCATGTCTCGTAGCTGTCGTTTATCTCCCCCAACATCCATTCTGGAAATGGATTCCCGGGTAATACGTGTTCTGAACGGAGTAACACGTACTAGGTACAGCCAAATTCTCATCTCCGGGGACTTCAATCTACAGGATCTGTAGGTATCGGCATCACCCAGTGAACAGTTCCATGCAGACTTGCATGAACT